GATTTCTGTTTTGTTTTTTGCCAGCAGGGGTGTACATGTAGATTTATTAAATACACCTTGTGCGCCACCTAAGAACCAAATCTAAAATCCGACATTCGAAATTTTTGCTCTGTTACAATCGTACACTGTTACAATTGACCCCACTCTCCCCTATAGTTGTCTGTTTTATTTCGAAGGATAATTTACATTAAAGAAGGACGTTATAAGACACCGGTAATTCCGAATAATGTTTTAATTTGATTATATTTGTCCAATAACTGATGAGAAAAAAGAAAAAATGATTACAAATATAAAACGTAAGGATGCCAACGAAATATGGAAAATAAGGTGGATAAACAAAACTAACGGAACAGCACCATAAGAGAGTAAAACAAAAATAAAGATGAAAAAGCAGCATTAGCGTGAATAATTTTTCTTGTTAACAACATTAGCTCCTCGTCACATCTTCATTGCGTGTGGAAATGCATTTTACCTTGATTCATCCCTTTCGTACAGAGTGATTTTCTTGTTCTGTTTTTTTCTTCTTTATTTCATTCATGACTGTTTTGGTTTTTCTAGTTTTTTCTTCTTTTTTTTCAAATATTTATTTGTCATTTTTAGTTGGTAACTTTTACGTTTTAAATTTCAAATCATGATATCATAATGCTGTAATATAATTGAGATATTAAAAATATATAAAAAGTGTAATCGTGTTTTATTTATTAAATGTTATGTTCGCAATCAAACCAGTCTTATTGTAGTTCCATTTTCCGTTCTGTACTCTGGTTTTTCAGTTAAAAAGTTATTTGAGATCCTTAATGTCTATTTGTTTTTATTTCGAAAAATAATATACATTAAAGGGACTAGTTACGAAATGCCTGTAAATAACAATAAAAATTACTTTATTATACTTTTTCTGACTTCAAAATCTATTCACTATTTTATAACATTCAACGTATTTCAATTTTAAAATTTAACATAGTACTTATATTTGTAAACGGAGAAAAAGTCTGATAAAATAACTGTATTGTATCGTAATTTCATTTCTGTTAAAAGTAACATAATAAAACCAAAATGTACAATATTTAGAACATTCTTTTCACAAGTTTTACTTTCATATGGTAACAGTTTACCAGAAATTCTGCTAAATTCCGTTCTTATTATAAATTGTTGTTCTATTATAACACATTTAATAAAATAAAAAAAAACTGAAAAGGTAAATTTTATCGAAGATATGGTATTTATTTCATTCTCCGATGTATCATCAAGAAATACCAAATTTTACTTAATGTTATCACACATTATGACTCCCGGTGGCTGAGCGGTAGCGCTCCACGCTGTCTTGCCACAGGTCCCTGGTTCGATCCTCGGGCCGGGTAAGGTTGACTCAGCCTTTCATCACTTCTGTTGGTCGATAAATGAGTACCAAGCATGATTGGGAACTAAACACTGGGGGTTCCGCGTTCGGCTGACCACCTGTCCGGAACATCTGCTCCTGCACCCCAGAGCCCTAGGTCAAGAAAACTGAGATGGGCACAGTAGGCCGTGGCCCTCTATAGGCTGTCGCGCCACTGAGTTTAGTTTAGCTTATCACTCATTATAAAATTATATTTCATTGTTATATTTACTAAAGAAAGTCGATAAAAAATATCTTTTATCTATTCTGGTACAGCCTGCAATGAAGCAAATTTTATCATATTCTGATAGATTTCCTCACACTTTATTATCTTCTTGAAAGTAAGAGTAGATTAATTTAAGTAAAAATTTCAATTATTTTCAAGTATTTAAACGATAAGTAATTAAAATGAAATGCTCCAGGTGTTGCGAAAAATCGATAGCTGGAAGTTGTCCAAGATTCAAACTCTTTAATTAATTTGATTTCCATGTAAATTTCTCTTTCACGCAACTGTAATTACCAATTTCAATTTATAGTAAACTATTTTTCTGCTACCACAATTACACATTCAATAAATTGAAATTAAAGAATAACACATGATCTTTTAAAATCGCTACACCACATGTTTTGAATAAGCCATAATAAAACACTTGAAAAGACGTAAACAGTGCAAATAAAACAGTTTTTTAACTATTAATATGCTCCTAGTAAAATTAAATTTGATTGTGCAAATAAAAGTTTTGAAGAAACAAAACCAGAAATAAAAGAAAACTGACATTGTTTAACGAAAATATAAATATGATAGAAGACAAAAATATAAAAATTTCCTTAAAGTATTATTTTAAAAAGTAATTAAGTTGAAATTGTTATTAAATTTACTTTTTTCTCTATTTTCTTGATTGTTAATGAATTATGAAAGAAGAAATAACCCATTTTAAATTATTGTTTTTTTTTTAATTTTTCAGAAAAGCGATTCTGCTTTATAAGAACTTAGAAAACTTAAGAATAGAAATTTAGGAAAAATGTATATGATTACAAAATCCTTGTCTTAAAAAGATGATATATTGAGGCATGATAATTCAGACATTAATTGAAGAGAATCTTGGTATAAAAAAGAGTGATGCAGATATTAAGAGACGAAAAGAAAAATATTACTTTTTTTTCTATAACTTTATAATTTAGTTTAAAATACTTAGGTATAATTAAAATTATCCATTCATAATTATTTATTGTGTAAAGTAGAAATTATAGGGTTAATAATTACAACAACAAAAAAAAAAGATAAATCTATCAATGAATAATTTAATATTCATTTCTTTAATATGCTTCATTTACCTAAGAACTTAATGCTTTATTAATATAATGAATATTCAATTTATTCAATTCATGATTTATACTATTGGACTACTATACATTTATAATGTTTGTTTTTTTTTTAAAAAACTTAATACTCTTTAAAAATAATAATGAACTATACTAGCTGTTTTAATGGATTCTGTATGCTAACAAAACATAATTTTCAGTTTAACTATTTTATAAACATTTTAACACATTTAAATTAGCTAAAAATACTTCAGAATTTGTGTAGCAATTTAAATATTTAAGCATATATACATTCAAGATTCTTTATTTAACTAAAAATAAACAATGAAATATTGTATAAATTTGTTCAATATTTCATTTTAAAGCATTCATTCATCTAATAGTATTAAAAAACATAAGTCAGTGAAAAATATATATTGTTACTACAAATATTGCAAATTTAAAAAAAGAAATATTTGATCAGTTTTTTTTTCTTTACTTTTATTTGCAGTATTTTAAGATATAAAATAAATTAATCTATGTGATAAATTTAACACATTCAATTAAATAGTCTAAAATTTATATTGTAAAACTAACTTTTAAAATTAATTTTTGGTAGTTTCCCCTTCTTCTACCAGGACTACAGCTTATTGTCAGGCATCATTCCATCGAGCAGCTTAGAAGACGACAACTCTCTTCATATATTAAATCCCACACTACTCAGAGACTTTCTCATGTTATCTAACCAAGTTGTACATGGCCTGCCTCTCTTTCTTCTCGGTTTGGCTTCTTAAATATTTTTCGGACGGGTACTTATTGTTATAGCTACTAAGATATAGTTATAGCTACTCAGATATAACCAAGTCATCTAACCTCTTGAATTTTGATAAATTTATTGAAATTGTTGTGTAACTCAAATATTGTTGCGTAGATTGTAAAAAATGTGTCACATTCGCATAAATTCCACCTTACGTCATTAAATTTTAAGACTGCGTATAAATTAATAAAAATGCTAACTCAAAATTGACGCAAAGAAACTATTTGATTGTATAAATTACATGAAAAAAAACCCATTCATAATACATTGGTGAAGAAAATCGTTAAACATAGTCAGAATCTGCTTAAGAAAAAGCCGCATTCTAGCTTTTGAGAAGCACATAAATTGTCTGCCAAAAAAGTTCCAATTCAGTCAGATGCTTATCGAGGAGTTTTCAAGTATTTTGGGAAATTAGAATGTTGAAAGCAAATCTTTTCTTTCGTCTTTTAATTATAAAAAATCATAGTTTTTGTTTGCAATCTTTAGTGATTTGTGCAAAATATGCAACAGTAAGATCTTTTAAAAATGCTTTTAAAAATTTCACTCCATAGTTTAATACTTTAAGAAGAAATACGACTATTTTGAATTTTGTAGAGAAATGAAATAGAATCATACGTTTTTAAATTTATAATTCAAAAAATTTTGGTTTGCTTCTCATAATGTCATAGATAAGTAGAAAGTGAAATAATGATTATTTTTTTGACAAGACTTTACTATATAGTAGAAACGATATTTGTTAAATTTACAGAAAAATAAAGTGTCGGCTTGTACACCAGTAATAAAGCGTTCATTTCACAGAAAAAAAACTTTTATTTAACAACGGGCTCCCATTTTTTAAGCAAATGAGTACTTTTATTTTAATAAATTGTTGCAAGTTGAGATCAGAAATCACACGATAACATTAGCCTCAGGGTTCGAACTACAACGTTGGGAAACAAATGAGACATGGTGTTTGGGTCCGAAGAAAAATTTTAAAATGTCTTTATCTCAGAAGTCTTACGTAAAAAAAATTAAAAGTAAGAATGTTTGAAACTATATTGACCCATTCTAATAAAAATGTTTGGTAGTTTAACGTATCGAAAAATTGTATAAAAAAAACATATAATAATTCAATCGAGTGTCAATTCGACTATGAAGTCAAAACGAAATTTAATTTATGCATACTTAATAATTTATAATGTTTAGTTTTATTAAATAATTTTTGAAAAGTTAGAACAAGAATAAAAAATAATCTTAATATGATTTGGAAAAAAAAAGGAATCACTCGGAAATTCAAAATGCATTGCAACAACTGGAATTTAAATCCGCAGTTTTAATTCGTTTAGGATTAGGTAGAAAATCAGAAAAACATGATTTTGGAAAAACAGTTTTAAACGGTCAAATATAAGGAGAAAAAAAGGGAAATTATTTTCGAAGCAAGCAAATAACAATGAAAAAGAAAAAGTCTGTATTTAATTACTGTATTCAAAATCTATAAATTCGCCGTTTAATTTGTATTAAATGTCTTTTTTTTTCCTGTAAAAAAATATGTTTTTTCTGCAGAATTTGCAGTTATTTTAATAAAGTAGATTTTTTTTTTAGAAAACATTCCAATCTTTTAAAATGCTCAAACTAAATAAAACTACTTACAATTTTTATAAGAAATGCAAAAATTTAAGAAATTTAATGGATTTAAAAACGGTGAAAATGCATCTTGCAATTAAAATTACAAGGAATTGATCCGTTAGCTTTAAAAATTGAGGTTATTTTGTAATAACCCTTCATAATAACTTTTAATTTATTTAATTATATTAAAGTATATTAAATCACGGCATCTTTTTGATATGATCAGGTTTCCGAAGATAAAATAAAAATTGGGAATAAGAAAATGATGAATAACATTAGAACCCTTTAAATACCGATTCCATTTGTTAAACTTTTTGATTTCATTTAAACTCTACACATGCGAAAATAAGAATAACCAGCTTTATCCTTGCTAGTATTCTCAATATTTTTCATACATTATTGCAATTAAAAATAGATTTCATTTTAAAAAGATCTGATAATTTCATCACAGAACTTATCTTTCCAGTATCTTGCAATATCTTAACAGTTGTGTAGTCTTTTATCAGTCATTTAGTTTTTTATTAATGAGCATAACTTTTAAAAGTAACTTTTTGTTCAGGTTTCTCTTATGCTCTTAATAATGTTTTTAATACCTAGCGTGTCAAAACACAATCTACGTCAAAAAAAATGAAGAAAAATTTTGAGATTATTCTTTTTTTGTTTCGCTTGATTTATTATCTATAATTTTTCATACTTTACTCATATCTGGAAACTCAGAAATCTTCCTCTTTAGCTGTTCAAAACTATTATCATGTTTGTTTTTTTTCTATCACCTTCCTTACATTTGGTTTTCCTTTTTTTACGGCGCGACTTTTAATATATATATATATATATACT